TAATTATATTAGTTAATATATAATTAATTATAAATTAAAAACAAATTTCATTTATTTGATAATTATCCTTATTTTTTTTTATATTATGGGATAAAGTCTTTATTTTTAAAATAATTATATTTGTTAACGTATAATTAATTCTAAATTAAAAAAATGAATCTCATGAATTTGATAATTATCTTTACCTAACTTTTTGTATTGTGTTATAAAGTCTTTATTAACGTTGAAAAATAATTCTATTTGCTAATATATAGTTAATTATGAAAAATCAATTCGCAAAGAATTTATGTATAGATAATTTATATTGTGTTATACAAAACATTATTAAAGATAATTTTTATACTTTTTTGTTATGTCTAAAAATGATATTAATTTATTACTAAATGTTTTAAGTTCATGAGTATTTTCAAATATAAGTTGTGTAATGAAAATTCTTTATATGATGATGAAAAAATTTATATATAGAAAGAATTTGTTTAGTTTATTATTAAATATTTTGAGTCTATGAACTATAATTTATTATAATTTACATAAATTGATTATATATTTATTTATAGATATTAGTAAAATTATTAAGCCCGCAAGTGCGGGTAAAACACCTAGTAATAATATATTAGCTATGAAAATAAAAATATAGAAACTAAAGTTACATATTTTCTAAATATTTTTAAAACATAAAATTTATAAATATCAAAAACTAGTTTAGACTAAAACTTTTCATAACAAGTTAAGAGTAATGACATCCAAAAAAAATAAGATATAAAATTCATAAATATTTAAATGTTTAATGAGAATAATAAATTAAACTTCAAATCTAAAATAAACTAAAAATAAAACATCATTGTAATAAATTGTCAATAAAAAAATAAACTAACAACAAATCACGTCATTGTAATATTTTTTTCTTTTATTCAATAAAACTACAAAATTACCTAATGTTATTAAATATAGATATGATAATTAATGATTTTGAATAATAAAGATTTGATATGTGCATAATCTATATCATTTTATTTAATTTTATATTATTAAAAAAATCACATTAACCATATTATATTTTTCCGTATATTTATATTTTGAATTTTTTAAAATGACTATAATTTAACAAAACTAAAGTCTCATACTGAAAATTTCGTCATCATGTTTACATTTTTATAACAAGATACAAATGATCATAAAACCATACGAGTATGAAGCTTATTTGATATATACTCAGACTAAAAAAACATATATATATTAACAGAATTTAAATTAAACTATGTACCATTTAAAATACATAAATATTTAAATTTTGAAATCTGCACTGAACAAGTATTAATGAAATTTGCATCAACTTTAAAAATTATATAAATTACCAAAACTATTAGTAGTCTCACACTGAGAATTTTGTTATCAAATTTTAAAATTGGTGGGGGGGGGGAATTAGAATTTTATCACAAGTTCGATACCATTTTTCAAATTTACTCTTAAGGAATAACCATTTTCATAAATACCATAAATTTGTGATAAACAGATTAAAATAATTCTCCTAAATTATTTATAAATGTTTAAATAATCATTAAATCATTAACCCAAATATTAGGGTATTTTGGATTAAGTGTATTTTGAAAAGTGATAGTCAACTTAGGGCATTTTAAGCAATTTCTCTTTTGTTATAAAAAGATACAAATGTTCATAAAACCATATGAATAGGAAACATCATTTAACATATATACATATATATATATATATGTATATATATTAGAAATATTATATATATCTATGTTAATGTTAATGTCATTTAAATTTGATCTACATATATATATAAAATATTGTTCCCTCACTTCTGGATCCGCCATGTCATAAATCTGATGATTCTGTGCGCGACACATTTCCTCCTTAGCCAAACTCACCGTTTCATTAAAGTTAAATTGGGCTTCTCTGTTTCGATCATGTGTTTCTCATAATTTAGTGGGCCTTACTCCCATGATTCAGCCCAAAACAACGACCAGCCGCAAGATTTATAGGGTTTTGTGTTCTTCCACGATGAAGCGAAGATTTTTCTTCTTCGATCTCTGATACATATATGGAGTTTTGATATCATCAATCCATGTTAATCATGGCTCTATGAATCATCAATCTGGCATTCTGTCTTCTAAAATGGAAGCGTTACTCCTAATTGATTCATGCCCTTTATCGTGCTCCTTAAGTCCATCACCCCTCTACGAGCACGATCTTTTATTGAATGCACCTTATTCCTCTGTAAGGTGGTGTCTCTAATCCTATAAAAGGTAAACCTTATTTGCTTAGAATATCATCATCTGAACTCTTGATTTTTCATACCTTTTATGCATTTTGGTTGTATTTGTACATGTTTTGCAGTCGCCTTTCATGTAATGCCTCGACCGCCCACGGCTAATGGGCCGCCCACGGCTAATGGGCCACCCACGCCCGCTCGCTCGGCCCATGAGCCCCATCCCGTTTTAACGGCCGTCCGTTATTTTTCCCAGGTCTGAAAGTCTTGTTTACTGACCCTGCAATCACCACCCGACCTTTCCTCGTGCTTTGGCCTCACTACCACGGTAACGCGAATCACTTCCCGATAGGCCACCCATCATTTCACTACTCCAGTCCAAGCACGCTTAACCCAAGAGTTCTAAACGGATCTGTGACGAAAAAGGTAAGTCAACTTCGGTGATATAAGCAGCCAAATCAATTCTCTTAAGCCTTTCCACATATTACAAACGGGGATGTTACAATTCACTCTCTCAAATAACGCAACGTCTCTGTTGTGCCCCAAGATCGTTACCTTGTTAGTGTGAGCCCTCATTGACTCCACAATCGTTAGGGTTTGGCCTGATACCACTTGTAATTCCCCGATCGCCCACGGCTAATGGGCCACCCATGCCTCCTCTCTCGGCCCATGGCCCCATCTTATTCCAACGGCCGCTCCATCAATTTTTTCAAGGTCCAAAAGTCTTATTTACTGACCCTGCAATCACCACCCGACATTTCCCCGTGATTTTTCGTCACTCATACGATATCGCGAATCACTTTCCGATAGGTCATCCATCCTTTCACTACTCCAGTCTAACCACGCTTAACCCTGGAGTTCTAAACGGATGTGTGACGGAAAAGGTAAGTCAGCTTTGGTAAAATAAGTATTCAAATCAATTCTCTTAAGCCTTTCCACATACCACAAACCGAGTTGTACATTTCCCTTCTTCGCTTTCGCCATCAATCATCATCACTCCTCTGACTGGTTCGTTTTCTTCTTCTATTAGTGGAGAACAATATCTGATTTTGTGTTTATAGCAGTAGGGGTTTCTGCAATTGGTTCAAAGTATATGGCTGCTTAGATCTCAACAAGACTTATTCACACTGTTGGATCCTTTGTAGCTTTAGTACACAGCAGCAGTATTATCTCAATTTCGAAGCTCTTTCTTATATGCAAATATGTGAACCTTTTTTTTCTTTGATCTCTATTTTCTTCTCCACGCTTTCTAAGCCTCACCAAGTAGAATGAGTCTCTTGGATTATACACCAGTATCTTCTCAGCGTCAATGTTGTTCTCGGTAACTCTCCATCCTTTTTTCTTCCGATACAAACCGGAACTCAAAAACTTAAACCGGTTCGTCCAAATTTTCAATTCTGATTTCAGGATACCACCATGGGGTTTTTTTTTGACACTGAATCATTCTTTGTATTATAAGTTCAAAGACCAAACTGGTCGTACAATAGATGCATACACATACTGCAGAAATCCATCAGCACAAAATGAAAAACAATAGCAAATTAGAGTGATACCAGTAGGTACCTTTCATAAAGTTTAAAGGTAGAAAATCTCAATCCTTTTTGATTCAGGGGTACTCATCAAGGTAAGATGCAGTTGAACCGAGACTGAATTGAGAACCATTCTGATGCAAAACCTTGTAGTTTTCCAATTCAAAGCTGAACTTGATTAAGATTTGAAAGGCAAGCTGAATCCTTTTTACTACCCCAAACAATTGAGGAGTCATCATGATCAAAATCTTGGAAATCAAACAAGGAATGACAAGGAAAAACCAATTTAATCTTGTCATACTTTAAGCAACATGAGCTGAAGCTCGAAACCGTTGGACTAGAGCCGGAGCAACTCAGCCCGAAACCTGTGATTAGGAAAGATCATATGACTAGACCCTTGCACCAAAACCAAGTAAATCACTCATCCAAAACAAAGTTTTTTCAAGCACCATAGAAGAAACTCCAGACAGAGTGTCAAAAGCGCCATCACATAAGCATATTGGGATAAAGGTGAGGATGAATATCTTTCTTAACCCTCGTCCCAAGGTACAACATAATCCTCAGCGAAGCCACAAGTGTAATCCTACCATAAGAGCTCCTCCAACTACGCCACAATCAGAAACGTACCGCAACCAACAAAAGATGGACAAAACCGAAACCAGAACTTGACAAGTTCCACCGCTAAACAAAATATGCAACACAGCCTTCCACCACAAACAAACCACCACCAATAGAAAAAATGGAGAACAGGATAGCCTCACTATAGAAACCCAGAAAAAGGGAACAAACCGTCGATCTGACACGGGAATCTCATCTGCAAAGTATATAACAAGCACAGCCGAAGAGATCAAGAGCGGATCTCCCCCTTGGTTGTAGCCACAAGATGGGACAAAGGAGAAAGATTCTTGATCCAAGAGTGACGCCGAAAGCCACACATCTCTCTGGAGAGGCCAACATTTACCACAAACAATGAAGACCCAATAAAAGAGAACAATCTTTCTAGTGAAAAATCAGAAAAACATATCTAAAGAGAGATAGTCAAGAAGAGAAACAAACAGAGAGGAAGAGGACCTTTCCCTGTGGCAGCAAGGAAAGCCGGCCATGATTTTTTTTATAAAAAATCTCTCTTTGTGATTGTGTCTAGTTTGAGTATAATCTACAAATTGAGCCGATGGGGTTAGGGAAGACTCTACAAACAACTTCTTTCTTGATTTATCTGAAGTTTCATCAAGGATTGCATGGCCATTTCGTGAGTAATGAGATCTGCTTCTTAAAGACAAGTTCTGATGATGTGTTGTCTAATGTTGTGTCTTGCTTTTGGCAGTTGTGCTCTGCCCTTTGAGCATAACGGATGGTTGGGTGTGAGGGATAAAGGTTCTCTCCAAAACTTAAAATTCTTAGGTATGTTGGTGATAAGGATTTCCGTGGTAATTTGCCTAAGGTAATGCATGATTATGTCAACAAGAGCTCTAAGGTGAGAGTAAAATTTTTTGAATTTCTCCAGAACTTGGGGTTTAACAGCTGTGTGAATATATTGTTCTATTTTTTTTTTTGTTTCAGGAATCTTTGCTACTATTTGATGTGTTGTTGACAACGTATGATATAGCATTGTTGGATCCAGACTTCTATTCTCAGATTCCATGGCAGTATGCTGTAACTGCTGAAGCTCAAATACTAAAGAATCCCAACATTGTATGTTGTCTACTAGGAAAATTCATTGTGTTGTGAACTGAAGAAATTTTATAATTAGGCTAGCATTCCATTATTTTTTTTTGCGAGCTGGACTTTTGGTGAACTTGGAAAATAAGTATCGTTCTAATAATTTTCTTCGTTAAATCAGTGTTTGGTTATGAGATAGCTAACTAATAAACATCTTATGCATATATTTTCTTTAGAACAAACTCAATATATTTTATATCATCTTTAATAAAATTAATAACTAGATTAAAAATATGAATTTATTATTATATTTAATATTGTTAATACTTTTTAAAATATATTAGAAATATGCATCGATGTAAGAAAGGTAAATATAGTTTCATTTAAACCATTTTAATAAACCTATTATAAAATGTAGTCAACAACAAAAAGAGAAAATCTGAATATTAATAGAAAAAGAACAACTACATAAATAATAAATAATGACTAATATAAGATAAAATTAAACATTAAAATAAAAATTATAATGAAAAAAAAATTATGTGCAAAGCATGGACCGACCCTAGTATACCATCTAAAAATAGATAAAATGATTATAAATAAACAAGAGTAAAATTTGTTTTTATTAATGTGCTCGTGCTTCTTTAGTTATATACATAATAGTAAATGATTTCTCAATTATTAAATATATTTTTAATGTCTTATTATTTTCTAATATGTAAAATAACGTAAAAAATTAATAGAATGTTAAAAGTATTTCTATATTCAATGTTCATCCTGCAGAAAACACATATCTTAACCCAGTTTTCCAAATATTTAACAACAGACTTTGAAAAAAAAAACTTTAATGATTTATCTCTGTAAAGAAAATCATCCATAAAATGTGAAGACATAGCATATAAAATGTGAAGACATATCATATTATTTTGCTATGATACATGTTTTTTTTTTTCTAAAAAAAAGCTTTATTACTCAACATAAATCTTACTTTTATAACAAATACACTACAAAAATGTAACATTTTGTTGAAAATTTGGAAATGAAAAATAAGTTATATAACATATCATTTTGATTGCATGGTATTATCAAAAAAAAAATAACTAGTTAATGTTGATATATCAAAAAGTGAAAAACATATGTGTAACACTCGTCTCTTCCTCTCTTGAAAACGGCGTGCTATTACTGGTAAAATAGCAAAACAAACCAATTTATAAAAACCAATTAAAATATTAAAACATTTATTAAAATAAAAGTGGGGTAAGTCGTTTCCAAATTTAGAAACCGAACTAATACAAATAAAACTGAAATAAAATACGAAGATGTCAAGACACCAAACCGTCCAGATATCCAACTAAACGTCATAACTATGTACACACACACACATATATACACATATATATATATATATATATAGTATCTCTTAACATCACACAATCCAATCAACGGTTGAATCCTCTAGACTCCTAGTTCCAGTTTAACAGTGAACGAACTAACTACCACTCAAGACTCAAACATAATCAATTCAAACAGACATATCATGATTCGAAATCTAAACTATAATAGGGAGAATTCTATACTGGTACGGGATTTATAGAATAGACCCTCATCTTAGCAATGTCGGAGAGAACCGGAAATAACGAGATGACTTGAGCAACAAGAAAACTTAGGGTTTCGCCTTGAATCCCAGCTTCTCGTAACACCATATCGGATCGGAAAGAAAATAAACACAACACAATGGGCATGATTAAATATATAATTAATGAAGGGTTAATGGGCCTTGTGAAACAAGAAACAATAAAAATCCCATTAACCTTCGCGGCTTAGGTTTTGCGGCGAGGAGTCTTTGGTTCCTACAGCATGGACATCTTCTCCGATGGATCATCACCTCATCGACAACGAAATTCAATGACCAGTGGTGGTGAACGGTGTGGCTCCTATGCAGGATTGTGTCACTTCTTCTCGGATCCCCGTCACTTCAATGACAAAGCGTAGAGATGGCTTCGGTTCTGTGCAACGGTGGTCCTCCGGTGACAATGGCTTCTATTCTGGTGACAGTGATTGGTGGTGATTGTTGACGGTGACGGTACTCCTTTGATCGCCATCAAATCTGAACGATGGGAAGATGGTGAGGAGAGGAGAGGAAGAGATAAATAATTTAACGGAGGCAGCTCACATTCTTTTGACGAAGGAGGAGATACACACAAATAATTAGGTATAGGAAAATATATACATGACTAACTAGACCTGGGCGTTCGGATATCCGTTCGGGTTTGGGTTGGGTATATCAGATATCAATTCTTTTTCTTGTAACACCTCTTAGGTCTCATTTTAAGAAATTCTTAAATTTGGATCGGGATCGGATATAACACCGGTTTCGATTTGGGTTCAGATTATACTGAAGTTACCGCATATCAATTGAGTTCAAGTTTTACATCGGTTTTGGATTAATTGAAGTAAAATTCAAAGAAAACAAATTAACATAAGACACTTGTAAGTTGTAACTTAAATTTAGTAGTAACTAGTACAAATATTTCCAAACTGATCACAGTGACAAGTGAAATATGAAAACTCACATAATATAGAGACGTAGCAACACAAACTTTGTTAAGTAAGATAACCTGATAAGAACTAAGAAACATGTCTCTCAAACTTAACACTAAAACTTAGTAATAATTGTTTGCAACAAAACACCAATACCGATAATAGCCACATAAAGCTTTAAAATGAAAAACAAACTGAGACAAAAACGAAAGTTTCAATGTCTCAAACTGAAAAACAGAAGAAAACAAAAAACATAGACTGTAACATAAACTGAAATCAGCTTGTGACAAAGGAACTTGGTCATATTCAGGAAGAACTTACTACTGAGCAGCCAGAAATTCTTCTGATCCAAAGACAAAGAGAGACAGATCAATAAACAAACCAAATTTGAGCAAATATGTTAAGTAAGATGACATATCCCTTTCGATTTTTTTCTTGCTCTTCAATGTCCTCAAAGATTTGTTCATTTGTAAGCACCCTTGACTCACAATGAATGTCTTGCTTCAACCATTTTTCGGTACACATAAGTACCTCAACCATGAAGTGAGTAATGAAGCTCATAGATGGCTCTATGATCCTTTCACATGTACTGAATGCACTATCGGATGGGACAGAAGAAACCTGCATTGCAAGGACATCCTTTGCAATCTGTGACATTATTGGGAACTTGGTACAGTTTCTCTTCCAGAAAGATAGAACATCATACTCTACACCAGCCATCAAATCTGGATTCTCAACTTCTTTTTTAAAGTACACATCCAGTTCATCCCGCTTCTCTTTCACTCCAGTCTCCTTTTGCATTGACTTGTACGTTCTGTCAATATTCTTATAACCTATACCATCATCAATAAATCCGGAGTTGTCTTAGAGAGTTCTCGAGGACACTGAGATGATTGAGTGTTACTGGTAGTATCTTGAGCAGTATGCTAACTTGATGCTCTCCTATGTCTTTCACTATACTCAAACAAAGTCTGCAACAAAATCATCACAGATTCATACATCTCTTTCCCTTCCAATCTGTCCACCCCATAAAGCTCTTCAAAACACATGGTCGCAAGCACCATTTTCTTTGTTGGATAAAAAACCGTTGCCACAATTAAAATCTTGTTGATGTTCTTCAGTCCATCTCAATACTTATCAAACTTCTTGAACATCTCCACTGCCTTATCCTTCAGATCATGATCCATGCTTTTGCTCAATGCCATGAGGTTAGTGGCTATGGTCACAATCTCTTTGTAACACTTGTAAGAGTTGAGAGATGCAGACGCAGACACAACTAAGATGGAGTTGTAGAAGATCACTAGAAACCTGCATAATCGTTCTATGGATTTCCAGTCATTGTACAGTGGAGGTCCTTCCCTCTTTTTTCCTTTCTCCACCTCCAAAAAATGATCATTGTAGAGCTTATCTTCTGCCTCCATTTTATCAAACGCGACTCTGAACTTCAATGCTGTATTCAACATCAGATAAGTGGAGTTTCACCTAGTACTAACTTCTAAAGGCAAGGTTCCTCTAGTCAGTCTACCCGAATCAACTTTCTGCTCAAACGATGTTAACCTATTCTCTGAAACTCTAACATAGACTATAGCATTACAACTAGCAGTCACATTTTCATTTGCATCAGCCATCCCTTCCTTCACAATCAAAATAATAATGTGTGAACTACTTCTCAAATGGATGGACTCTCCATCTTAAACTAAAGCATCAGGAGATTGTGAAGAGAATGCTGGCTGAAACCTTCTCAACGCAGATGAATTTGCAGTAGCATTGTCAACAGTTGCACATAAAAATTTATTGATTCCCCAATCAGCTAAGACCTCTAAAAGAACTCTAGAGATTGTGTTTCCTTTGTGATCGATGACTTGTTTGAAACCGATGATGAGTTGCACCTGTAAATAGTTACAAACACATTAAGGTCAAAGCAAAATCGAGACATTAGATTCAAAATTTTTTTTAAAAAAACAGAGACATAAAATTAATTCTAATTTTTTTAAAAAAAACAGAGGCATAAGATTCAAAATTAAAAAAAGAAACAGAGACATAAGATCAATTCAAAATTAAAAAAAATAGAGACATTAGATTATTTCGATTTCTTTTTCAAAAAAAACAGAGACATAAGATTCGAAATTAAAAAAAAACAGAGACATAAGATTCAAAATTAAAAAAAAAAACAGAGACATAAGATCAATTCGAAATTAAAAAAAAAAACTGAGACATAAGATCAATTAGAAATTAAAGAAAAACAGAGACATAAGATCAATTCAAAATTATAGAATAACAGATATAAGATTAATTCAAAATTTTAAAATAACAGACACATTAAGATTGAAGCACTTACGGTGTTACTTGAGCCACCCAAATATCAGTAGTGATGGACACTCTTTGCTTGTCTGCTTTAAACCACTTCTTATAGCAGATTTCCCTTGCAAATACATCCTCACAATGTCTCTGGTTGATGTTATCCTTGATACATGATTCCCTAATTTCATCTACATAAATAACATATACGTTAGATACTAGTTAACTTA